CGGCCAGGCTCAGCCTGGGACCCCTCTTGGAGTGGGGTCGGTTCGGGCGGGGGAGAAGGTGCCGTCCTCGAGGAAACTCGCCCACCCACAGCTTTGTCTCTGCCCCTGGAACGCGCGTGTGGGGTCCCTGGACGTCCCTGGCGATGGGTGGACCTTCTGCCGAAGTTTCCTAAAGTTTGCAGGACAGACAACTAAAGGTCCATAGACAGCGCGGGGGCGAGGGGAGGGGCGCACAACTTGTATTTTTGCCTTGTATCGTGGATGAACTCTCCCTCCCCACTGTGTTTGCTTTTCCTTTTTAACTTAGCTTTTGCTGACAAGTCGAAAGTCAGTTCTCCTTTTAGTGATTAACTCCGTTAGCGTTTTTGGGGGGGCCTATGGAATGTTGTCATTTCCTCCTATCTATAGAACTCGTGTTTCTGTCGCAGCGTGTGACACATACCCCTCCCCCCGCCGCCCCCTTGCCGCTGTGGTTGGAGTCTTGTTGGGAAATAAAAGAGGGGGAGGGGTGTAGAAATTGTGAGTTCGTTCAGTCAGATCTACAGAATTGATTGCTCCTGCTGAACTTTTCTGAAGTGAAGCGGTATAATGATAAGTGAAAGGCATGAAACTGATTTTATAAAATTCGTGAGCTGGAAGGAAACTTGGAGATCCTATAGTCAGTCATTGAATTCCAGAGATGTTAGGTAACTTAACCAAAGTAACAGCAGAATGGGAACTAGCATAAGTTTGCTCCTTTATATCCAGTTCCCAAGCAATAGTAAATGCTATTTACTAAGTAATAACAGGCCAACAGTCTTTATTCCTTAATCAATCTGACCCCTAGCTCCCAACTTTGCTTTTGCTTCGACATGAATTTTGATGACATAGTGGAAAAGTATCCCCTCATTTACTTTTTCAACAAAGCAAAGTTGGGGGCTAGGGGGCAGACTGATGAAGGAATAAAGACTGTTGGCCTGTTATTACTTAACAAATGCTGTTCCTTTCCCTCTATTAAATTTAGGGGCCAACATTTGGATGAAGACACTGTCTTAACTCGTTCAGCCCTCATAATCTGTTTTCTAGATGAGGAAACAGGCACATAGAGTACCTTGCCCAAGTTCTCGAAACTAATAAGCAATAAGAAACTAGTGTGTGTTTTTGAGCCACTTTGGGTTTCAGTGGTAACCTTGAAAAAAAATTAAATCCAAACATTGTTCTACTCCTTTGAAAAAAGCAGGTGTATACCTCCGGCAAGAACTTCTTAAGGGAAGGAGGGTTTCCGCTACAGATGTTCAATTTACTTTTGAATTGGGAAATACAATGTAAAAACTTTAGTGCCCACATCAAACGTTTTTGAGTTCCACTGTGTGGAGTGGCATCTCTTCAAGTGAGAAATAGGGCCAGGCAAACTAGTTTTGCAATTTTTGCAGGTTGGGACTGAGTTTGTTCTGTTGACATTGGGAGTGCAAGAACCTCTTGTCAGCTGAAAAACTGGATGAAGGAGCTACAAGTACCATCCTTTACTCAGGTCCTTGTAGATCATGTGACCCAGCCTTGAAAGAAGCAGGCAGAAAAGCTAGATTCAGAAAGCTTTGGTATAAGCACTGATTTTCAATAGGTTGTTGATTAAAGTTCTGGGTCCCCCCTCTTCCCCCTGCCCCTTCATCCATGGAGGTTATGACAGAGTGGAACAGAGTGCTTAGAGAAGAGAATTCTTGAGTGTAGAGTTTGAGAACTTTGCCATGGTGGAGAAACAAGCTGGGGATACGGTACTTACAGACTAGGTGGAGCAGTGTTGGTCAGTATGGTGGCTGTTACGCCCAAGAGCGGAGGCCGTCCACCTGAGCTTCTCACTTCATATCCTACGGGACGGTGACTGCAAAGCAAATAACGTGCTCTCAGCCTTCAGTTTGCTTTCTGTCTTCATGCATTCTACTTTAGAGACAGTCTGTTCTATCACCTGGATCCCTAATTTCTACCCACAAAGTATATTTGAGATGAGAGGCTCACCTTGTGTGGCAAAAGGGAACATGCTAATCCACCCAGGAGCAGCTACTCTAGATTAAATTTATGGACTGAATCCTGGTATGATTACAATAATTAGTAAATAGTTATACAGTAGCCCCCCTTTATCCATGGGGAATATGTTTTAAGACCCCAGTGGATTTCTGAAACCGTGGATAGCACCGAACCCTATGCAAGGTGGGCAAAACTAGGTTTACAGGTGTTCATATAGGAAATAATACAATAATTAATAAATAGTAACAAGAATAAATTCTGTTTTGTGTACTTACAATTGTAAACCTACTTTTGTCCCCCTCCCCCCCGTATATACCATGTTTTTTCCTATACATACATACCTTTTCACATAAAGGAAGCACTATACAGCTTCTCTTTGGCATATATGAATTGCCAGCATCACTACTACTGTTCTTTGGGGGCCATCCCATTATTAAGTAAAGTGAGGGTGACTTGAACACAAGCACTGTAATACGGGGACAGTCAGATGCTAAGTGTCTTGCTGAGCAAAGGGGTGAGTCATGTCCTGGGTGAGACATGCTATTCTCAATTTAAAACTTATGGATTGTTTATTTCTGGAATTTTCCATTTAATCTTTTTGGACCACAGTTAACCATGAGTAACTAGCCAAAACCGCAGAAAGAGAAACCGTGAATAAAGGGAACATACTGCATAGCATGACTATGTTCCAAACACTTATCTCAGAGCTACATGTGTGTTAGCTCACCTGCTCTATGAGGTAGGTACCGATACTATCCCCAGAGAGGTTAAGTATCTTGCGTTGAGGTTACACAGTAAGTAATGGAGCCATTATTGAGATTAGTAAGATTTCAAACCCAGGCATCAGGTCTCAGAGTCTACCTCTCAACAGTGGTGGCTGAATTGCAGAGCTTACCCTTACCCTGTTACAGGCAGTGTTAACAGGCAGTTCTCTTGCATTCTCTCTCACTCAGCCGTCCAGTGTTGGGGCCTGAATGAGATGACGGGATTTTTAATGATTTATGCCTTACCTTTTCTGATCAAGCATTTATTGTGAACAAATAGCACTTTTGTCCTTTTTTAGACTGAATTTTTTTTTTAAAGGACACATACCTTGCCCCAAAAATACTTATTTTGAAGAACACAGGTTTCCAAAGTGGAGTGTACACATCTGTGTATTGCAGATGAATGCTTAAAGTTGTTCTTATTGGTGGGCGTATACAAAGCTTGGAGACCACTAATTTGGAGAGATACCAGTACTGGATTGAAAGATGGTGAGGGAGGGCAGTTTGGGAGCAGCCAATGTCAAGATTCCAAATGGAAGCAGTAGTGCTGGGACTTGAGCCATCACTTGTACGATATGTGTGCTGCTTTAAAATCCTGGGGGGGGGTGTGTTTGGGGGTAGGATTTTTCATGGTATAGACCTCCCAGGTTACAGAGCAGTGGAGTGGCTATATATACTTAATAATTTCCTTAATTCCCCTTCACACATCAAATATGAGCAGTTCCCTGGAGATCGCTGATGGTCAAAGGAGAAAGAGCTCATCCTAACTGGGAGAATAGAGCATCTTCACATTAGGTAGGGACAGCCTATGTGGTTTATTTTTTCTCCTATTTCAACTCATTTTTCTTCTTTTGCAGGTTCCGGGGTTGGAGTTATAAAGGAAGTGAATGTGATCCCATGCCCCATTCAGCCCTGCCATCTGCAGAAAGGGCAATCTTATGCTGTCAATGTCACCTTCACCAGTAGTGAGTAAAAGTGGCTCTTACCTTCAACTTCATCTTAAACATAACATCAGTCTCAAGTATTGGGATGAGCATGGGAATGTGAGGGAGGGGAATTGCAGTAAGAATTCTGTGATGCGGGGGCTGACCGGCAGACCCTGAACGACGGATGAATGATCAACACACGTTTCTGTGATAGAGAGGCTAAGGCACTACCTGGCTATCACCGCCAAGTAGCCCTGTTCGCCTACCTCCTTTGGCTTTTATTGTAACACAGCTTGAACTAAAATTAACCTCTAGATACATTCAGCAGAATAAGTATCCTTGAGAAAGTATATGCTTCTACAAGGTCAAGTCTTTAAAGACTAAACATAGAGATTCTAGCAAAATACCCTGGGGGATCGGACTTGTTTGGAAAAGTCAAGGTAGAAGCTGCCGCCTTCAGCAAGGTCCCCTCAGAGGCTCTCGACCTTTTAGAGAATCCTCCTTACAGACATTCCAATTGCGTTCTGTGCTTCCCCACACTGTGACCTCCCTTCCAGCCTGTGTATAGCTAGGATTGGCTATATCCTTGGACATCCTTCTCATATGGGGTTCCCATATTGCCTGTTTCCCAAAGTCCAGACTCCCTCAAAGCAAAGAGAGATTTCCATGTGTTCACAGGTGAGAGAAGACAGCTTGGATCTCTGTGTCCTATTTCGGACCATATTGCG